TTTTTTTTCCCAGGAATTTCAGATTTTTCCCAGGATTTGGGATTTTCCTGGGGAATTTTAATTTTTTTCCCAGGATTTTGGTTTTTTCCCCCGAATTTCGGGATTTTCCCCAGAAATTTTGGGATTTTCCCCCGAATTTTGGGATTTTTCCCTTGGAATCTTGGGATTTTCCCCAGAATTTTGGGGGTTTTTCCCCCGAATTCTGGGATTTCTCCTAATTCTGGGATTTCCCCCGAATTCTGGGATTTCCCCAGAATTTTGGGATTTTCCCCCAATTCTGGAATTTCTCCCGAATTTTGGGATTTTCCCCCAAATTTTGGGTTTTTTCCAGAATTTTGGGATTTTCCCTTGGAATTTTGGGGGTTTTTTCCCCAGAATTTTGGGATTTTCCCCCAATTCTGGGATTTCCCCCGAGTTCCGGGATTTCCCCCAAATTCTGGGATTCCCCCGAATTCCGGGATTTCCCCCCAATTCCGGGATTTCCCCGAATTCCGGGATTTCCCCTCGCTGCCCCACCTTGCTGCTCTTGCCCTTGGTTGGTTTTTCTTCCTCCTCTTCCTCCTCCTCCTCCTCCTCATCCTCGCTCTGCTCCCGGCTCAGCGCAGCGAAAACGTTCCCACCCTAAAATCCAGAAATTCCCAAATTATCCCTTTTTCCCCAAATTCCAGCTCCGCCCACCTCCACACCCCAAACCCCCCAAAATTCCCAGGTTTAACTCAATTTTTTCCCCATTTTTAAAAGATATTCCTTCAAATCTCCAATTTTTAGGGACTTTCTTCCCATTTTTTGGGGATTTCCCCCCAATTTTTGGGAGTTTTCCCCCATTTTTGGGGACTTTTCCTCATTTCTTGGGATTCTTCCCCATATTTTGGTATTTCCCCCTGAATTCTGACTTTTCTCATTTTATAGGGATTTTTGAGACTTCTCCCAATTTTTTGGGAATTTTCCTCCACTTTTTTGGGCTTTCCCTCCTTTTCTTATTTTTCCCCTTTTTTTTATTTTTCCCTATTTTCTCTGATTTCCCCCCATTTTTTGGGGATATTTTCACCCATTTCTTGGGGATATTTTCCCCCATTTTGGGGGGATATTTCCCCCCGTTTTTCAGGCCCCTTCCCCCCCATTATTTTGGAACATTTTCCCCCATTTCTGAGGATATTTTCTCCCATTTCTGTGGGATTTCCCCATTTTTTTGGAGGGATTCTCCCTATTTTTATTTTTTTTTTTGTATTCCCCCCATTTTTTGGGCCCATTCCCCCCATTTTCTGGGGACACTTTCCCCCATTCCTTGGGGATATTTTCTCCCATTTTGGAGAAATTTTTTCCCCCATTTTTGTGGGATTTCCCCATTTTTTTGGAGGGATTCTCCCTATTTTTATTTTTTTTTGGTATTCCCCCATTTTTGGGCCCATTCCCCCCCATTGTTTTGGAACATTTTCCCCCATTTCTGAGGATATTTTCTCCCATTTTTGTGGGATTTCCCCACTTTTTTTGGAGGGATTCTCCCTATTTTTAATTTTTTTTTTGTATTCCCCCCATTTTTCGGGCCCACTCCCCCCATTTTTTGGGGACACTTTCCCCCATTCCTTGAGGATATTTTCTCCCATTTCGGAGAAATTTTTTCCCCCATTTTTGCGGGATTTCCCCATTTTTTTGGAGGGATTCTCCCTATTTTTAATTTTTTTTGGTATTCCCCCATTTTTGGGCCCATTCCCCGCCATTGTTTTGGAACATTTTCCCCCATTTCTGAGGATATTTTCTCCCATTTTTGCGGGATTTCCCCACTTTTTTTGGAGGGATTCTCCCTATTTTTAATTTTTTTTGGTATCCCCCCCATCCTCACCTTCCTCCTCCTCGCTCCTCTGCGCGCCGCTGGAGCTGGGGGCAGATTTTGGGGCTCACGGAGGGCTCGGGACCCCCGGGGCCCCCCAAATCCCCCCAGAACCCCCCGGATCCCCGTCCCGGACCTTCCTCCTCCTCCTCCTCCTCCTCGGCGGCCGCCAGGGCCTGCAGGCGCCGGCTCAGCTCCGCCTCCTCGGGCTCAGGCTCCGCCCCCCGCGGCCGCCGCCCCTCCTTGCGCCGCCTCCGCCGCGAGCCCTGGGGGCAATTAGCCGCCGTTACGCTAATCAGATGCTAATTAGCTCCCTAATCAACACCCCGTGCTTCGGAGCCAGCTCCGGTTTGGCCCCGCCCATTTTAGCCCCGCCTTTTTAGCCCCACCCATTTTAGCCCCACCCCTTTAGTTTTACATAATTTAGCCCCTCCCCTTTAGCCCCGCCCCTTATAATTTACATGTTTTAGCCCCACCTCCTTTAGCCCCACCCACTTTAGCCCTGCCCATTATAATTTACATGTTTTGGCTCCACCCCTTTTAGGCCCTTCCTACTTCAGCCCCTCCCCTTTGACCCCACCCACTTTAGCCCCACCCATTTTAGCCCCACCCCTTATAATTTACATATTTTAGCCCCTCCCCTTTAGCCCCACCCCTTTTGCCCCACCCACTTTAGCCCCACCCATTTTTAGCCCCGCCCATTATAATTTACATGCTTTAGCCCCACCCCTTTTAGGCTTTTCCTCCTTTAGCCCCTCCCCTTCGACCCCACCCTCTCTAGCCCCTCCCACTTTAGCCCCGCCAGTTGTGATTTACATGTTTTAGCCCCGCCCCCTTTTAAGCCCTTCCCCCTTTAGCCCCTCCCCTTCTCATTTACATATTTTACCCCCTCCCTTTTGGCCCTCCCCTTTGACCCCACCCACTTTAGCCCCACCCATTTTAGCCCCACCCCTTATAATTTACATGTTTTAGCCCCGCCCCCTTTTAGGTCCTTCCTCTTTAGCCCCTCCCCTTCTCATTTACATGTTTTAGCCCCGCCCCTTTTAGGCTTTTCCTCCTTTAGCCCCTCCCCTTCGACCCCACCCTCTTTAGCCCCTCCCACTTTAGCCCCACCAGTTGTAATTTACATGTTTTAGCCCCGCCCCTTTTAAGCCCTCCCTCTTTAGCCCCTCCCCTTCTCATTTACATGTTTTAGCCCCGCCCCTTTTAAGCCCTTCCCCTTTAGCCCCTCCCCTTTTAGCCCCGCCCCTTTCCCACAACCCCTCCCCTAACCCCACCCCCTTATGCCCCTCCCCAACCCACCTAATTAGCATAGCCCATCACCCTAATTAGCATAATTAGCGCAATTAACCTGGGCCGGGGCTGGCCCCTCCCTC